GTCAAGTCTCCTAACTTGAATAAAGGCGCTATATAAGTACATGCCACATGCCATGTTTTAAAAATGAAGACCTACGAAAGACTGATTAAAGACATTTTAATACCAATTAAGGCCTCAGTTTTATTTTGAAGAATTCAATGCCTTTTAAGACTTTTTAAGGACCTGCGGGAACCCTGTGTAGACATCTGTGCTTAAAATACTTGCAAATATAAACAATAATACACACTGAACTCTATCATTAAAGAGATCTTGGCAAACAATAATCCATATTCATCAGTTAAACTGACAGATCCAATTTCACCAAGTGGATCTTTTTAGATTTAGATATCAATCTAATAAAAACAAACAGGAAAAGAAAATGACCTCAGAGGATGAAAAGCAGTATAACCTGAACTGTTCCCACTCAACCATTTCAAGCTACTTGCCGACACAGGCAGGCTGCTGGTGAACGAGAGGCGATAATTAGAAACAGAGACACTATAAATGCTAATGATGTGAATGGCTTCAGTCTGATTCCATCTGACAATTAGAGAGGCTGCAGATGTCTGATCCAGACGTCTGATTATTAATCATTGAAGAGAGAACATGGAAGAATCTTAGTTTAAACCCATTAATCTATTCGACAGCAATAAAATCAAAAAACATCACGTCTGACAGATGTGTCTGAAGGACGACACAGGGCGATAATGAGAGACAAAAACTGGTTTATGAGAAGAGCGAAGGATACGATCAGTGCCTTGGAAGATGACGCTGCCCTTTACCATCTCTCCCATGATGCACCCCACTGACCAGATGTCCACTGGGAACAGAAAACACACAAATGTGACACAAAATCCCACAAACAAAAAAAATAATTACATGAAAAAGTGACAATAAAAAACAAACACATTAAATGCAGAGCAGGGTGTGAAAGAGAATGGTTAGACAAACACGGAGATGTAAAACAAACGGCGCCTCATTGTTTGGGTCCGTCCCCTTCCAGAGCATCGCTCTCCTGCTTTCATCATGCGGCGCACATCTTCAGTCTGGCTTCAAACCGGCTGCAGCCTTCCAGGCCTTTTTCTCGCCTACGCTTATCAGTTTACACAGCTGTTGCTCTCTCCCTCGCTTTCTCTTTGTGTTCATCGATGTGAGTGTGTTTTTAACAGAGGAGCATGGAGTTTGTCTTTCCCTCTCGCTCTCTGAGTTGCCCTGTTTACTTGGGAGGGTTAAGAAGTGGCAAATGGCCATTTACAGTTTCCTCCAGTCCACATCCACTCAAGCTGAAAGCTTTCTCTCCCTCTGATAACATCTCCAGAGCTCTGCACATAATCCGGCGCCGATTCTTCACAAATATCACATGAATCACAAATGCAAACTTTAAAAGTGTACACCAGGGACCTTTTTTTTAAGATCCTATCCATCTCTTTTTCTAACAAAGTGCGTCGAACCAAAACAACCCCAATCACTTTGCATCAATTCCTTGATGTTGCAGCAGCGGATTACATAAGACAACAACTAATCAGGTCATTTTAAAGGCATAGTTTCCAACAAATAAAAACACATTCAGCCCAATAGATTGCTTGGAAACTTCCTGAACTGCTTTAAAAGCTCATCCCTGGTCTTTCCCTCTGTTTTTATTTGACTAAAAGTTTCCTGTCACCCGTTTCAGCCGACTAGAGACCGCTGCTTTCAACTGGCAGCTCACTGCGTACCACTACGACACATGTGCATGTAGATTTGACACTGAAAGAAACGAACCGTCTGCAGGAACAACGGATGAGAACCGTATTCTGTTAGGTATGAAAAAAGGTCCAAGCGAACAAAAGGAAGGGGTCATAAAATGGTTAGACGTTGGATTAGTATAGTTTACATGCGCTATTGTGCCCCATGCTCTGATTGAACAGACATTCTCTCACAAATCAGTAAATCCACCCTTCATCACATTTAATGACTAAAAAATGATCATAAAGGATCTCATATAAAAAGTGGTGTCACGATATGTGAGAACTGGTGGATTTACTGAGCGCTGGATTGAAGAACTTGGAAAGTTGGTTTCTACAGATTTATGTAAATTGTAATTTGATCTGCACATTATATTGCAAAGTTATTCAGGGTGCACACTGCAAAGGAATGCATGAACTTCAGTAGATTCAGGTTCCCTGTGCCTCTATTACATCTGATGCCTAAAAACCTCGTTGAAGTTTAATGGGCGTGAAAGTTACATAAAAAACTACAGATATTTTGTTTAGAGGCAAGTCTTTAAATTTAACCTTGTTGATATAATCCTTTTCTATGGGTGTCCATTGAACCTTTTATTTGTGAATTTATTACAAGACATTATTTGATTGTTTACCAACTTGATCAGATTTCTCTAATATTGAGCACATTATAAAAACTGGGACATCTCTAGGGGTGGGTATTGGCAAAGAGGTCACGATTCGATTCGAATCACGATTCACATGCCACGATGCGATTCTATCACGATGCATCACGATACTTGAAATATTGCGATGCATCGCGATATTTTCACTGAACACTGTAAGAAAAAAATACAGCCCTTACCAGTGGCTGACTGGCTGGGTATGATCTGGATTGTGTCTTCAATTGATACATAACTGAAAGCAACTGAATTCATACATAGCTGTATTTATTGAAATGCCTTCTGGAGGTGTTGCCATGGAAACAAATACTGGACAGAAATATTAATATTACTGGCGTGGACACACTGACAAAAAGATCTTAGGATTCATCAATCTTTAAATAACAAAATAAGGATAATCAGTGCCGTTTACATGGACTCAGTGGTCCTTTAAACCAATGAAATGAAAACATTCAAATGTATATTTCCCCTTTTGCAAATGACGTGCATCATATCAATTTCGTTTTTTACCTTCTTTGTTTTTAAAGCCAAAATGCATCCAAGCATCTGACTTGAAATGTGATGGAGCCGCGGAGCGAATTTTCATAGTGTCCTCCATGTTTTATTTCATATGACTCGTCGCAGTATCCCGCGGCCGGACATGCTTGTGACACAAAGCAGCGGGCGTCAACACATCCGCAGCGACATCTGCTGGACTGGAAGCTGTATTCCACTTGGTTTGGCTGATGTGCACCAACCATTCATGTATTTTATTCATTTTTCTTTTTTAAATAATCGATTCTTGCCTTCAAGAATCGATGCAGTAGATCACAAAAATTAGAATCGCGATGCATCGTCATGACGATTATTTTGCACACCCTTAGACATCTCAGTCACTTGTTGCATGCAGGACCTATAGGATACCTGGAGCATCAAGAGAGCCTAATTTTAATAAAGACTTGCAAAAGCCTCCAAATTCCTGTTTGTTGCAATAAACTCTATATCCAAAGAAATTGTCTTCTTGTTGGCTAAAACTGTTAAAACAGATTAAAATATTGGGTACAAAATATTGACCTAGAGATTCACTAAAATAATCCTAAAATTGACCATTAACAGATTTCTGTATCTGAGGATTCAATGCAGTGAAAACCAAAGGAAGATGTGAAACAAGGTTAATAGGAGGAAGATAAGGAAGGATACAGTCCTTTCCAGGAAAGAGGACTTTATGACAGATCATTTCAGCCATAATGCAGCCAACTGACCACAGGTCCACTGAAGCAAAGTAGTGGCAGATTAAAAGCATTCAGTGACATCCACAAACACTAAACAGAAGCACTAATAGATCGACAAGATCAAATGTAATAGAAAAATTAAAAACAATCTTTTTTTTTAAAGAGATTTTTTCATTAAAGAACACGTTGGTAAACAAAAAAAGATCTGAAACCGTTCCTGTCTCTGCGAAATATGCTCACCGTTCTCCTTATACTTCATGCCCAGAATGACCTCCGGGGCGCGGTAATATCTGGTAACTACATAGGGGGTCATCATAAAGTTTGTGCAAGCCGTCCTCGCCAGACCAAAGTCAAGGATTTTCAGAGTGCAATCAGACTTCACCACAATGTTGCTGGGCTTCAGATCCTGGAGGGGAAGAAAAATATCTACCATTTTTATATGTTATCATATCATAACATTTTATATCACCTTTTTTTATAGATGTCGGCTTTTTTTTCAGTGTTTCACTGTGAATGGCTGAATGTGTTTTCTTCATCCTCTGACATGGCTGTGTTTCCTGGATGGAGCCGCCTTTTACAGCAGCTTTTTGTATCTCTGCTTCTGTTTCCCTGAACCCCAGTCGGCCTCGGTAGATATCCGCTCACACTGAGCCTGGTTCTGCTGGAGGTTCCTATCTGTTCAAAGGGAGTTTTTCCTCTCCACTGTCGCTACAAGCATGCTTAGTCTGAGGGATTGCCTTTGAGTCAATGACTCGATGCAATCAACTGGTTTTCTTTAAATAGAAAACTTTGAATCAATTTGATTGTATAATCTGGTGAACTGTAAAGTGCCTTGAAATGACATGTGTTGTGAATTGATGCTATAGAAATAAACTGAATTTAATTATACAAGCTGTAGATTAATTAGCAGGTAGGTTATTTATGAAAACAAATCAAAGCAGAAATAGAAAAACTCAGAATAACAAGGCTTGTTTAGAAGCTACCAGAGGACAGCTTTACTCTCAAAAAATCCAAAGTATGGCGGGCGAATTTGGTCATGATTTGGGCTTGTAATGACCTGAACCTCTTGAATTAATAATTTATATTATTTTCTCTTAACTGTCTTTTACATAAGCTCATGTTTCTATCACCTTTAGCACAGCTGACCCCTGGACTCACCCTGTGGATGATCCCAGCTGAGTGCAGGTGCCTGATGCCACAAAGGATCTGATAGAGCAGGTAGGACATCCTCTCATGGTCTAGGTCCATGTGGATCACCTGACATAAACTGGCATCCATGAGCTCCATCACTAGATAGCTAAATTAATGGAAAAAAATAACAGAAAAACATATGGATAAGTTATTTAGTGTGAGCAGATTTGTAAGGCTCTAGAAACCCTCGCCGGTCACTCACAGATCCTGGAACTCCTCCAGAGACTTCTGAGGCGTGAAAACATTGATCAGACGGATGATCTGCGAGGGTAAAGACAGACTCACTCTGTTACTCTCCTACTCTCCTCTTTGAAAAGAGAGATTGATTTTCTCCCCTCAGTTATGTTGACTCATCTGATCTCACACAAATAATGTCAAACTGTAACACTTCAAATATAGCTGCGTTCTGTTTTTAAGCTATAGCTCAACTCATAAAACCAGTATCCTTTTCCATGATTTATTTAGGCTCATTTGAATCTCTTTAAAATAATAAAACGTGGTTTTAAGCAGGTTGGAGCTTCACATAGAATCTTACATTTTTGTGGTTGACACATTTGAGCAGCACCAGCTCCCTGTAGGCTCGCTTTGCATGGGTCTGGTTCTGAAAGGGCCGACAGAGCTTCTTCACAGCCACTGGTATACCAAGGACCGTATCCAGGGCAGAGCTGGGCACAGATTACATTAAAGAGAAAAGAAAAAACAGAAACAAAGGTTAGAAACAAACAAATGTATTTCACTGAGAGAATCTCCTGTTGACCTCGAGGTAAACAAAAATCCAAGATCCATTTTATATCAGTTTATATTGTTAAAATCATAAAACCTAACTATTGTAAATATTAAAATTATTAAGTTTCAGTCATCTGATTGGTTCTAAACAGTTTTTGCTGAGTCTGTTAGTCCCACCCGCTCCTTTCCACAGTAAATCACAGTAAACATTGCATAGGTCAGTCTGGCTGGCCAGGCCAGGATTACACAGCAGAAGTGTTCAAGCTGAACATTGAAACAGGCAAAATGACATTTGATTTTAATAATATAATATTATAGATCTATTAAAATGCAGCTCACGTTTAAAATAAAGCACTTCCATCTACAGTAGGCTGGCTTTTAGTCATTATCAGAAACAAAAGCTTCAAAAAGGTCATCAGGAACGCCAACGTTTTCAGTTTAACCATTTTTACATTACTGTTGTTGGAAAAAAAATTCAGACTTAGACTAAGTTTATGGTCTTTTCGTATACTGTAACAGTCACTATTGTGAACTGTCTCTTTAAGATATTGCTAGGTGCCACTGTTTCTCTGCAGAGAGCGCGGGAGACGTGATGCAGAGAAATACATGTACTCAGATGGACATGTCAATTCCCTATTTTCTTTGTAATATTACGGTTTGTTTGGACTCTGCTCATTCTTCACGAGTTGTAAGTTTTTGACCGTCATCTTCCTTAAACGCAACCCTAAACGTTACAATACACAGAGCGTGTACAAAACTGAATTTCTATGCATGTAGATCACAACAGTGAAATGAACATTACCATTTATAAAGTGCAGCAGTGGTCAAGAATTTAAACTTAAACAGAAAAATTTCCGTCGAACAGGAAGGAAAGACTGGTCGTCTGACCTGCTTCAGCTTATTGGGCTCTAAATGGTCGGTCTAGAAAAGAAACAATACGTTTCTGACCAGTGAACTCACCACACCTTAAAGCTTTGATGCTATGTGAAAAACAACGCCCCCTGGTGTAGAAACTTTTACTGAGTTAAGCCTGGTTTTTGCCAAATCCACACCAGCCAAATGATGTCATGTTAGCACCAACGCCCCTCCAGGCACTAATCGCACTGCACATCTAGAAAAAATCTTGACTATGAAAACATCTCTGTGAGGAAAAACATGTTGGGGGAGTGACATTTCCTACTGACAAGGGTTTGCAAATATAAACATCTAAAAACCTCTTCTGCTTCCATCCATAAATATCACTACCATCAACACACTAAAAACACTCCTGGAAAGCAGTTACTGTTACTCTCAGATGAGATAGAGGCATTGAAAAAGTTGGAAACAGCTGAAGTTTCTACCTCTTCATGTGGTGCGGTGTTATACGCTTGTAGTCGTATAGGGGAAAATGTCCCCGTTTCATTGCAGTATTTAAAAAGTTGGAAAAAAATAAATAAATAAAAACATCATTTAAAATATTGAATTAAATGTAAACACATCAATAGTTTTAAATAAAAAAAAAATGCAATTTAAAAAAAGTACAAGATACAAACTAGACATCAAACCCGCATCTATGATCACCAATGCCTGCTGAAGCTACAGTGAAAAAATGTTTTAAATACTGATAATTTTGATTGTTTAAAAAGCTGCAAAGTGCTATAGACGGTTGTCAACAAAACAACACCAGAAAATAACTGACGGAGGAAGAGATGCGCGTGACGGAGAAAGCAAGGCTGCAGTGGGGGGCTAACTGCGAAATTTAAGAGAGATACGCACAGACCTCCGCTTCCATCAATCCTGCTCTCCAACATCCGCTCACTGGAAAACCATCCATCATCCATCCATCCATCCATCCATCCATCCATCTTCTTACACGCTTAATCCCAAGCGGGGTCACGAGGGGTGAATTTAGAGAATCCAATTAACCTAACATTCCTGTTTTTGGACTGTGGTAGGAAGCCAGAGTACTGGCTCCGGCTTCCTATCCTTCTCCAGCATCGTCTGTCGCTGCTAAACCTGCCGATGGCACGACTGCTGCTTCAACCACGTCAGCCTCTTCAACCCAGCGGGCTACGACCCTCACAGCATCGTCATCATCGTCCTCTTCCTCCCCTGAGCCAGGAGAAGTGAGTGCTTCAGGAGCCAGAGGCAGTAGCAGCAGCATAACAACACCTGCTGCTTACCTTATCAAGGCTGCACTTTAAAAACTGAAATTGTCTAAAGAACTGTTCTAAACCTAATTTCTCTTTGTCTACACTTGTTTATACAAAATAAATCTGTCTAAAATCTGTCTAAGTTGTGGACACTAATTGTGAACTAGCTCTGTTTTTAGTGAAATCCAGCATTCAGAGAGAGGAAGCAATGCGTTTAAACTGATGGTTCTGGTTGCTGTCTATTAATGATAGTTTCACATATTTTTTTTTTCATTTTTCTTTCCAGTAACATAACAGGTTCATGTTTTGTTATATAAATATGTTTTTAATATTTTATAAATAACTTTAATAATGTGTAAGAAAACATTTTTTATTTATCCAGTCAGTATGTAACACAGGAGCACAATGAATTGTTAAAATATAATGATGTACCCGTTTTTCTTTTAAAACTCCGTATAGAGTAAAAAACTGCATTTAGCCCTTCATGTTATCGACAGATCCTCTTGACAAGAGAAAACTTGATCAATCTATCAATTAATCATTTGTCCATCCATAAGATCAATCAACTTTAGAAGAATTCAATCATCAATATTTTGCATCCCTTTTAATATAGAATTCAAAATTATCTGAAAACAAATCAATTAATAAAAACTATAGTAGCAACACCTTACCAGACAATGCCTTGGGCCCCGGAGCCAATGGCACGGAGCTGCTGGTAGCGTTTGAGCACAGTGAAGGTGGAGTCCCCCACCTGGACACTGTAGAACTGACCCTCCGTCTCACTCATCGTGCCGAGCAGTGAGGACCAGCAGCACAATCTGTCCGAACACAGAAGAAAACATGGATTATGACCTCAACAGGAGGACAGAGATCACACAGGGTTGCTTATCCTGAGACCTGATTACTCATTTCATTTTCAGATCAGTATAGAAGCAAACAATCATGTCTTTCTGCCCATTTTTTTCATCTTATAACATAATGAGAGAGAAGATGCTGATGCTGAAGCTGGTAACGTTTCTGCGAGTATAGATATGAATAATCAAGGCCAACAGAGAAGCTAGAAAGCTTAAAGCGTTCCTCAGGCTCTCGCTGCCATCTTCAAACTCAGACTGAGACGCTCCTGCTATATAAACACAGACAGAGCTCAACGACTAGCACAGGCAGCATTCAGATTCAAGGCGTTTGTGATCTGAAGGCAGTTTCACTGTGCAGAGTCGAGCTCTGCCAGCATGAGTTCGTACATGTTAAGAAAACACACAACGTGTTTGTGGTTTTCTGACATATGCGGCTGGGTTAGCTCTGATTCCTGAGGCAGGAAGTGAGAGGGTATTTTTCTTGGCAGTCATTTCTGTGTGTGCGCTTGTATGTGGGCGAAGACACAACGTCATGTAGCTATGCAACAGCGACTAGTGATGGATGCATTTAAAAAAGCCACAAAAACAAACAGAAAAACTGAGTTATTTGTTTTTTTTTCTGCTCTTTTTGTTTTGACAGGATAAGAATGAGAGGATTAACTGGTCTGGATGCCTCACAGATAAACCTTCATACACAGAAGGATCAGAGGAGACCTTATGGAAACCTTATGTAACTGTAGAATGATCTGAAAAACATTTTTAAAGGATGTAAAAACCTAAACTATTCCAGACATAATTTCCCAGAGTCGTTTTTTTCTGATATAAAATACTAAAGTTTACTGCAAAAATATGGCAGATATGAACAGGAATATCCTGGAAACACCAGAAATTAAAAGCAAGGAAGCAAAGACCACAAGGATACAAAGCAGATAAGGAGAGAAAGAAGGAAGAATACAGGAATTAGTCATTTTATTTTCCCACTTTTCCAAATTTGGAAAATAATGAAATCAAATTCTAGATTTTTCCAAACTCTATTTAAACCCTTTTAACATTACCTTATTTTCACACAGAAAGATTATAGCCATGACTTTAACAGTACAACTGTAATAACACTGCTTCAGATGCATGTCACAAAATATACCCCCATCTGTTGCATTTTCTCTAAACCTAAAATATCTGATTTAACCGCCATTATTACAATCTTTGCTTCTAAAATTCAGTTGCTTATCTCTAAATGCTCACAGCAGCACACTGTGCATTAAAACACAGTCTGATGAGAAACCCTTCTCCTACAAAGCCGTTTTCCTGCCTATTATTTTATTGTAAATACGCAGAGAATTTAACTTTCCACAGATGTGTTTATTATGGAATGGTGTTTCCTTGACCCTGTGCAAGACTTAAAGCTGATTCAGCATATTATAAGATTATCGTTATCATCAATATTACTGCGTTCAATAATTATGTGCGATCTGTGCAATCACTGTAGGCTAATATTCCTTGCATTATGAATCTGCCTTTTTCCTGCTAATATTTAGCTCACAGTTTGACAGCAGCAGATCCTTACAATCAACATGGCGTTAATGACCTAAAGGTCACAGAGCAGGGCTCTCATCAGCATATTTCAGCGTAACAGGCAGTAGAGCTTGAAAAAGTCACTGTTACACTGAAAATCAGGCCGATATCCTCTTTGACTGACACCTGGGCTTCTAACTCATATTTCAGCACAAATGGTGGTTAGGTTGAAATTTTTTGAGTTACAATGGAAATATGCTGATACCCTGACTTAATGCACTTAGCAGCAGTGGAAATTGTGTTTTTAGATACATTTAATTGTTATTTGCACCCATGAAGGGAAGCGCAGTGAAAACATGAACCCTGGACCATTAGGACTGCCATTGGCTCGGCTCCCCAAGACAAGAAAACCCATTAGCACTAAGCTGCAACACAAACGTATTGCCTTTGTCAATACATTCTACAATTTCCCCCAAAAAAGCAACGGCAAATCTAGCCACTATTTTCTGTCGCATTCAAGACTTTGGTGAAATAAAAGCGCCTCCAAGCAAAACACTGACAGGAAGTCGGACGCAGCAGCTGCAGCCAGTTTCTGCAGTCACAGAGAGAATAGCGACTCTTCCCCATTAAAAGATACTCACACATGTGCAAAGCTTCCACCTATCCCTACTAAGGGTGGAACGGTTCACAAAATCCACGGTTCGGTTCGCGGTTTCGTGGTCACAGTTTTCGGTTCGGTACATGTTGATTGTTAGCCTGACATGTTGGTCGTGTTGCTGTTAGCATAAACAAAACGTGTTGCACAATGCTTGCACACTGTTGCACTTTTATCCACAACTTTCTTTCCGCCGTCATCGTAGGTCACTCTAAATGCAAAGTGGTCCCATACAGAAGACCTATAACCTATGCTGCTGGCACGTCTTCCAACTCCTGTTCTTTCCCACTCGCCATACCCATGAGAAAAAGGAGCAGCGCATGAACCGAACAGAACACACACGAACCGAACCCGAGACAGTGGAACCGAACGGTTCGGACGGTTTTAATAAACCATTCCATCCCTAATCCCTACTGAATTAAAAAGTGGTGTGGAAACAAAATATTTGGCATACCGGTATTTTTTTCTTTGAACCTGTTTTGCAGTAAAATGGATCCTTCCCTCATTTAATCCGTGCACCGCCTCATCCACTGTGTGCCACTATTTTAAGTTAAATTTGATAACTAAACATGGATTTATGTGAAGTACAGGTCAAAATAACCTTGTGTAACACTAGAAATTATGTTATAGATTTCATCTTGAGTTTTAAACCAAGTTGGAGTATTTTAATCACTTCCTGTCTTGCTAATTAATTCAGCTGTTACATGCAAACTGCGTGATGACATCATTTTAGCACCCTCTGAATAAAGATCCTGGTGAGTCCATAAAAGCGTAACAAGAAAGAAAGGAAAGGTAATAAAAAAGGGTTTATACATATCCTGCTTGGTATTGTCATTTGAGTTATGAACAGTCTAATAAAATTTTATTCCTAAATCTCTATTAGGAATTTAACATTTGGAGATGAATGCACATAAAAATTATGTTCCTTGAAAATCCAAGCATTGTTTTTTAAGAAACTAACAGCTTTACACCTGTACATTTACCTACATCGTTTTTCCAAAAAGCAATGACTGTATATATGCTGCTGTTTTTTTTTCTTATTATTCTTTATTTCTCAAAAACTGTTTGTATGTACCTTTTATCTGTTGTTTTAGATTATCCCTTCACAACTTCATGTTTCTTTCAGAATATTCATTCTATTTTGTCTTTCCATAACATTCTGCCTACCTTTAAAATCCCTTGATAAAAAACAAATATATTTATCCCCTTTTTTCCTCTCCTTCATTAGCTGATTGGATTCTCTCTCACATTTCCGTCTTAGCTCGCTCCCTTCACCTGAAAGAAGTTTTTTTGTAGTCCCCTCTGTCAGGTATTAGTCATGGTAATTTTTTGGCAATGGCAGCGCCTCACTCTTTTGGTCTTTATTGGATTTCCCCCAGGTTTCCCCACAGAGAGCGATGCTGGTTTATTTATATTTAGAAGTGACTCTGAATATAGCCCCCCTGCTGTGGAACTTGATGGAATAATAGGAGTAGAAAAAAGCAGATTGATAAGACTGTACTAAATTATAATATTACAGTATGTTTTCTATGAAGCCTAGATAGATCAGCACTACACTACTTATATTTCCATAACAGAAACTAAATGGTGTGATATTTAATTATATTCTCTTGTTTTTGACAAATCTGGATTTAAATACAAATATGTGTACATATTTCAATGTAATTGAATGTAACTCTGTAACTCTGAAAGGTAAATCTGATATTCCTAGGTGAAATCTGGACTGCTGTAGGTGACTAGCAAGGTGGATGAGTCACAGCCTCCATCGTGATCATATTTCTAGCCCTTAGTGATGAGTGCATCATGACAAAGTTAGAAACTCCAAACTATATTCATGCATCTGCAAGAGTGGGTGAAAAAAAAGAGAAAATGAACACAGTGGTGGATTGAACACATAACTGATGCCAATGTTGTAAAGGCCAGAACACCAAGTCTTTGTGTCCGATCCGACAGAAAATTGTGTCAGACGGGGTTGTGGCGATTGGCGCCAATTAAAATCAATGGGGATGATCACCGCCGACATGATTTCATGCAAGGGGGGCTTAGGTGCGACTGAGATAGTCTATTTTAGGTAGAACTGGCAGCAATTCAGCTGCAATTGCATGGGTCTGACAGGAAGAGAGACGCGGTTACAAAGTAAAACACGCTTTGGGGGAAAATCCAAAATAAAATCTGTTAATCGCACAGGGAAACAGTCAGTTTATGGAGGTGCGTATTCTGTTTATAATAAGCAGAACAGACTTGTGCAAAAACAATGAATATAAAAATCAAAACAAGAATACTTTACCCACGATAGGAGTTCAGGAGGACAGAAAATATAAAGTAGTGATCCTTTTAGAGCCTCAAAAAAAACAACGAGGGACAGAAAGTGCAGTTTATCAATCCTTTTGAACAATAATATTACTTCAGGATTAAAAAAGGATAGAGTAAAATACTGATCCTCTTGGAGCCTCACAAAAAAACAAAATAATGAAGTGCAAATAAAGCAGGTAAGCACTGCATATCTCTCACCTCTTTATGACAAGAAGAAAGAAGAACTTTAAAGATCTCTCCGAGAATAACCTCTCACTGCCTCAGTCAGCATATAAACCGTCCCAAGGCGTTTATTGCTGTGTTTTTCTTTTCTTCAGATGTAGATCTCATTATGTTTTTAATACAGGCATAGGAACATTCTCTATCTGATCTGGTTTGAGATGCTGCACAGACTCGTTAATTGGCGCTTTTCTTTATAGCTGCGCTGGTAGCTTTTTATTTATTATTTAAATACTTTTCATAATCTTGCCAAGTCAAATATGGGAAATTGTTTTAATTTGTGTATAGCACAGAGACACAAGTGAAAATATTCTGCTCAGATCTGCTCACAGCCTCTCTTTCACAGTCAGTGTGACTTGGATCAGAGATTAAAAAGTCAAATGCAACCAGTGTGTTCAGGCCTTAACGTACAACATTATTCTGAAAAAAGGTCTCACTAACACCTAGATGGAGATTTTTGCCTTAGCAGGATTAAAGCTGGAAGAGATTTGTCTTTTTGCTAAACAGCATAGAACCGCTGCAATTAATGTTTAGCACAAAAGACATGAGATTTAAAACAGGCCAAGTGCCTGCTTTAAATAAAACAAATACGTGTAAATATTATGCAAGGGGGGATTTTTACAGACAATAAAAAATTATTTTAAAAAATCAGACTATCAAACTTCTTTTTATGAACACAAAGAGGTTTAACTAAGGTTTCACTTCGCAAGTTTACTGAAAACTAAGTTTTTAAACCTGAAATCTGAGTTTTACAAAGAGAGTTTCCTCGACTTCTGTGTCTGTTACCGTAGTAACATCCTCCCAGAGCTGTTCAGAAGCCGATTTTCCTAAATCAACTCAGAGTGTCCTCTGTCTCTGCCCTCCTTAAAGCCAATCAAGTCGTTTCATTTCCTAATTTACTGGAGATTTTTTTCATATTTTCATAGTTTTGTGCAAAGAGCAAAATAAAATAATTTACTAGGTTAGACACATGAAGTGTTAGAAACACAAACACAACAGCCACATCTAAAACCACAAGTTTTATTTACTTTATACCTACTTTATATCTTTATCTTTTTTATTTTACAGCTGAAACAATTAATCGGATTAATCATGATTAGATAATTGAAATAATGGTCAACTAATTTAGAAATCAATTCATAAGTTAACTGGAGTATAGAGACTGTAAAATATGCCTTTAGCTGACAGAGCAACCCCCTTATAGCAGTAATTATACCAAGATTGTAAAAAATATAAAAAAAAATGTCATTTAATATTAAAAAAAAAAGAATGTTTTCTTCTGTCAATATGCTCTATTTAGAATGCCTCGAATGGAAAAGTCGAATTTCGTAAAAAATCTTCTTTAAGGAATGTTTGGCTATATGATTATTAATTGATTACTCAAGAAAATAATTGACAGATTAATCAATTTGCAAAATAATCGTCAGTTTCAGCCCTACTTTATTTACAGTTTATTTCTTATCTGCTTTTTAAAGCTTTAATTCAAATGAATCCCACATGTTTCAGTCACATGGTTTCAATGCGGTTATTCCTAAAAAAGGAATGACCTTAGGGAAAGGATAAGTAATACATTTTGGTGATAACAACCAACCTACTGGTAGGTAAGAGGTACAATCTGAAGCCATTCAATGCGACTGATCACTAAAAAAAGGCCATATGTTCGGATGATAACATCTGAAACGGCTGCAAATAGCCAATAGCCACTGAATGATGGAAGACAGAATGAATGGAAGACAGAATGAATATGAGGAACCCCATGTGGTGATGCAAACGTCCTACCTGATACGTTTTTATTCTTCGCATTCACCTTCTGTCAGGTGATTACACCTACATAGAATACATTAATCCAATACCATTCAAGTAATAAACTAGTTCCCCCCACCCCCCATTATCTTGGTTATTCTGAGCAATCTCTATAGTTATGCTGCTATAGGCTTAGACTTCTGGAGGACATAGGGACCCCTATTTCATGATTTTGCTTCATTCTATCTCTATTCTTCCACTCTGCAGAATCTGTTAGTTTAATCTCTAACGTTATGCTCTCTCTGCCTTTTCTCATCGTAGCTTTGCCTCATCAGTTCCTGTTTGGCTGTGACACCACCCAGGAGTAGGGCTGGGTATTTTTGCCAAAGTCCTTATTCGATTTGATTGATTAAAACAATTCTAAATCGATTAAATCGAGGGATTCCATTCGACTCAACGAGTCGATGCAATCAGCTGGTTTTCCTTAGATAGAAAACTTTGAATCAATTTCACTGTATGATCTGGTGAACTGTAAAGTGCCTTGTGATGACTTGTGTTGTGAATTGGCGCTTTATAAAAAAACTGAATTGAATTGAACAGACTATGGCAGGCTGTTTTGATATATATTAGTTTTGAATTAGCTGTGTGCTCTCCAAATATGAACAAAGGGTTTTCCACCTCAAGGAAATCATAAAAATCTCATACCATTACACGCCTGATGGTGACAAATAGGATTGACGTGATATGTATATACTTTTTTTTAACCCTACTAGTTTAGGAGAACTGATGAGAGCTGTGACCTTCATAAAATCCTCAGCATCCTCAACAATAACTCATGAGCTGAGCCCAGCTTTGGGTTCTGACGTGGCTCTCAGTGGGGAGGTGGATAAGGAGAGTCGGTGAGCTCATATCAGATTAACATGACCTGAAAAGTATGTGTCATTGTCATGTAGCATCTACAACTACACCCATGATGCTGCAGCTGCTGTTTCAAATGGCAATTTAAGGAGGGGGGAGGATTAACCTTAAGGTGGAAGGGAATGCTTCTGTGATTCCTCTACACATGACAGGTAAATTCAGTGACTATATACAGACGCTGATTCGTTGACATGTATCTGGCATGGAAAATAAACCAGATGAGGGTGAAAATAGTCCATGCGATCATCACATTGCAGCTGTGTTTGTGTTAAACAGCTGTCTGCATGTTTATGTCGATTTGATTGCGTTGAGCTATATCAACCAAACAAAACCAAAGGTACAGATAACATTTAAGCAGAGACAAAATAACAGGATATTCATGCAATAAAATAAATAGTTTGAGACTGGTGGTATTCGCTGCTGTAACAGCAGAGAGGGTGATTCACAGGACTACAGTCGCACCAAAATTAGCTGAATCTAGCCAATGCTTAACCGGACACACCGGTCAGTGGGCCCTAAACTAGCAGTCTGACGCCATTCCTTGGGTAGCAATGCGGTAATCGGGCCGCCGGGGCTGAGCTGGAAGCCCTGACAGTCCGAAGAGGGACGAGGAGAGGAGGCGGTAGCTGCAGCAGTTAAACCTACCTTCTCCTTTCGCCGCTCCCAGGAAGCTCCCATGCATCCAAAACGTGGGTCAAACTCTCTCCCCACCTTTTTAGGAATAATTTCTGAGAATTTTGTTTAAAAAATGACCACAGTCACGACCAGTAAGAGGCAGAAAGAGCTCTGGTTCCGAGCGAAACTCTAAGCAGCGGCAGCAGAAGCTCAGAGGAGCCGAAACCAGCAGAGGCAGAGCGCCGAAGGAAGGTGACGTCATCCCGTACAGTTCACGTCCACACAAAAAACTTGGTTGATAAAGTTTGGTTAGCATTAGCATTATGTAGTGACATGTCAAAATTTCTGGTTTTTGATTAGCAAAATGCTAAAGTTAACGTGATGTAAGAAACTGTCTTGTAGTAGAATGAGGCTGTTTCTTTTAAAATTTTCTCCTTAGGTTTTGTATGTTTCCTTTGGTTGTAATAATACTGACTGTTTATTAATTAATTTATATCTGTTGCCTTTAATATTTTATATATTTTATTTAATATTTAAGTTTATAATATATGTTGTCTTCTTTTTTATGTAAGAGTGATTCCTACTTGTAAATAATGTAAATGTAAATACATTTTTTTGTTCAATAAAAAAAAAAAAAAAGGTTAGGATTAGTGATCACTCTGTTTAGCATTATCCATCCATTTTCTTTACACGCTAAATCTCAAGTGGGGTTGCTGGTGCCTATCTCCAGCTGTCTATGGGTGAGACGCAGGGTCCACCCTGGACAGGTCGCCAGTCCGTCGCAGGGCAACACAGAGACATACAACCATACAACCACTCACACCTAAGGAAAATTTTGAGAAGCCAATTAACAGTCATGTTTTTGGACTGTGGGAGGAAGCCGGAGTACCCGGAGAGAACCCACACAGGCTCAGGGAGAACATGCAAACTCCATGCAGAAAGACCCTGAGCTGATAATGGAACCTAGAACCTTCTTGCTGCAAGGCAGCAGTGCTACCCACTGCGCCACTGAGCCTGTTTAGCATTATACACTGATTAAAAAAAACAAAACAAACAAAGGAAACACTTAAATAGCACATCCTACATCTAAATAAATGAATATTTTTATTGAATACTTTGTTCAGTACAAAGTTGAATGTGCTGACAAAAAAAAAAAAAAAAAATCACACAAAAATGATCAATGGAAATCAAATTCATTAACCAATGGAGGCCTGGATTTGGAGTCACACTAAGTTGACCAGATTTTTAGAATCTGGGGTCATTTCCGTCTCGTAGATAAAAATCAAAATTTTATTAGGAAACTGGGACAGTGATGCATTTATCTACTTTTACATTTATCAATGTATTAATATTTAAACAACGAAAACCAATTGTAAAGTCCAGGAATGTGTCTCTTAATATTGCTAGTATTTCATAAGATTAATAAAATTAGTGGCATCTGGTCATTCAGTCTTCTCTGTCTTCTTCACTCTCAATCGTCTTTTCTTTCTAGCTCTCTTCTGACTTCTGCCTGCTCCCTAACTTTTTTAAATTGTTTTTCTTCCTTCTCCACTCTTATACCATTTTCTTTCTATCAGTCTTCTTACTCTCCTCTTCTATCAATCTTTCAATACATTACAAACATTAGTACAACATGAACACTTACAATTTAAAAGTTACAATACGATTCTTGTTTCACACACCTGATGGAAGTCGGTCATTTTTAGATGAGAAATTGGGGTTATTCAGGAGTTGCAACAACATCTGCGACCCGTCGTACTATAGCCCCATCTACACTACTCTCCGTGCCATGCTTAGATCAGTTAACCATGCTGATCGCGGTTCCTTACGACCGTTTACACACACGCTAGCATGGTTTCTCGCCTCCTAGTGACAATCTACGGTACTACTGCTCTCTTGAGGTAAACAAGCAAATCAATAGGCAGTGCCAGTAATATTAAGGAAGTTTGATTATAATTCTGATATTTTGTTGTTTGCGAAAAGTCGGGCGAAGAAGCCAGCCTTTGGTGAATTTACCTGACAGAGTCGGCTTTTGCGAAGTGTATACGACAAACGATAGTCTAATCAGGGCTTACAGACGCAGGAAACGACGACAGACGTTGAGATTCATCACACTGCTAAGCAGAATTATCATTGGAAATCATGTGGCACGAGCATGGAGTTTGCATGTTCTCCCTGAGCACGCGTGGGTTCTCTCCGGGTACTCTGGCTTCCTCCCACAGTCCAAAAA